CCTCCTTGCATACACTCATGATAATACATATACGAGCTGTGTATGATCGTTCGAGCTATTTAAAGTCATGATCCAAGTTTCGTCCGAGTTGGATTGTGGTCTGAGCAGGGTTGGCTCGAGCAGAGGTTTGGACAGAATTGGCTGGTACCGTATATCTGCTAAATCTAAGTTCTGATTGACAATCAGTCTGATGGTTTAGGCCGAACCATTATCACAGCCATCATCATCACCATCATAATTATCACCATCATCATCATCACCACCACCATAGCTCCATGGTCATCATAATTTTATTTTTATCTCTCTGTTGTGGAGTCATCCTACATTAATTTCACCATCTTTTTCTGATTTTCAATTTTTATCATAAATATATTACTCACTCCAGTATTATACAGCAGAATTAATGCCAATTACAAAAAAGCCATATCATACGTTGATATACAGTACTTCTATTAATAATATTTTCTTTTACATAATTGTAAAAAATAAGCCATCCATTTTTACAAACAAGCTTATCTAGACAACAACAATGCAATGGAATATTCATTCTTAATTCTTTTGTCACAACCTATAGAATTCTTTTTAATACTTCTTAAATGTATTATCTATTTTCCCCAATAATAGCATGTTTAATTTTCATTTATAAACTGGCCTATTAGTTGAGGAGATTTATAATTCAGCTGTGCATATTTTTACATTTCTTAATTTCACATATTCAAGATCAATCCTTCATAATCGCCATCATCATGATCATTATCGTTGTCGTCGTCATCATTTCTGAGAAGGTATACCAGCAAAAGGCCTAAGTTGTAAAGTTTAGCAACTAAAATATTTATGATTTAATATATAAATAGAGTTGATGTTCTTCGCCTTCCTCCATCAAAATGAATTAGTTTAAAATTTTCCTTCGCTTTGTATTAACGAAGTGCTAGAAAGAAATTGCCTTTTCTTGTCATAATCTTCTACAAACCATGCATGTACAATACAGTATATAGATGACGCTATGCAAAATGGATGTTTTGTATTACGTTTTTCGGTGCCTTCCCTCCATGAATAAACTAAGTTTTTTTATCAACACGCACAAGTGGTCTTTCAAAGAGGTATTTTTATACCTCAGTGTATTAATGGCTCTTCTATTCAGGTTCCTTAATATCCACTGAAAGCAAATTTTTAAGGCAAAACAGATATTAATTTATTGTGAAAAGGCACATTGTATAAAGGTGCCTAAAGCACTGTGGCTTCTGCTGTGTACTACCATTTCAATAATGATTGCACCCTCAATTTTTTTTTAAAGTTTCAGAGGAAAGCTACACCTGCATATATATAAACACTGTACACTGTATCCGGACAATAACATTTACAGTTAAATCCATATGGATTCCTGGTTTACAGGCCTTCAAAATATTTCGAAAATTATGTAGGGCTATGCTTTAAGTATTATCATCAGAAAATAAGGGCTTCACTAAAATAGCTGTAACTTTTTTCCCAATGTCAAAGAGGATGCTGTGCATCAAATATCATATCATATATAGCAAGTTACTAGCCATTGATATGTGGATTACTAGCTTCTGCGATGTATTCAAAACACATGATTCTGTATGTCACACATTTTTTGTTATATTTTTAATTTTAATAAATTGTCAGCCAACATAGACAAAAATCTCCATTAACTGTAACAGGTTGGAATGTTACTAACTTATATTAAACCTTAACTATCTTCATAAATTTAAGCTTCAATGAAGATAAACTACATTAAAAAAAAAAATCAATTTCACTTAAATTATTAGATGTAACAGCTAATCTTAAAAACAACCTCTCTTTGTTAAGTCAATTCAGCCAAAGTGTTTAGTGCGAGTATGACTAGGAATGTTAAATTTAAACGAATATACACGATTACAATCAAATCATTTAAACTTTCGAAAAAAAAAAACATATTAAAAACAAGTCTATGATTACTAAATGAATTTTTACAGTATAATCAGGATATGTCCTAGCTAAACAAATTAAAAACCTACTTTGTACTGTATTCTATTAATACCATGGGACAGACTTGGGAGAAATTGAGTTTCTGATGATGAACAATCATTTTACAAGCAAATTAGGGCACGCCCATCATTCATAAACCTACAATTTCTCCAAATCATACCCATCATTTGAATAACATTTGACAGAACATAATTAACAGGATAACATGAATTTTAATGTACTGTCAATAAAAATACCTAAAGCTTTATGAACAGAAACTAACTCAAGCTCCTGCATATTTAATTTATAACATAAATTTACACTTCTAAATGGTAAGGTCCAGCACCCAGACCCTGGTCTAGTCAGTGAGGTAACTTGTGTCTTTCTGAAGTTTCAATGCACCCTGAACATACAAAATTATTTTAAAAAGCTTATCATCAGCAAATAAAAATGAAATAGCAAAATCCAATTGCTATTGAAGATCATTTAAAAATACATTTAAAGTAAGGGGCCAATTTGGAACAATTTAAAGTTACATTTTTTCCAATCTTTAACATATTTATACAGACTTTTTATGTGCTTCAATGCAAACTTTGGTTAAATCGTCCTGAAAAGTGTGGGAATGTAGTGTGGTGGAGCTGGGCAGTATTAGGTTTTCCACCGAGTCTAAAGCTAATTTCATGGCAACACTAATTTTATAAAATGCCCATGTCCTGTCCTGTTCTATTATTACTACTCTATGTACTACTAATTTGTGTTTCATTTTTCAACTTATTCCAGCAGTAATTTCATCAGCTGAACCATTTGTCAATCCCTGTCCTCGTCTCCTTCGCTAATTCCTCTGATTATTTGCTCTTCTCTGCCTCTTCTCTAATTCTCTCTCCCTTCTTCTTTCTTGTCGTTGCATTTGAATTAACCACATCATTCTTCTTATTTGTGGCTCTATTGCCCTTACCGGCACTTGAAGATTGTTGGCAATTTCATCTAGCCTTTCCAATACTTCTCTCCCTGATAAAAATCAAAGAATTCTTGCAACTTCCACAAAACTATACAGTAATTAGAAAAGTGCTGTACAGCACTAGTAATATCTACAGTCCAGTTTTATGTATTATTTTATTATTTGTATTCAGTAATCTTAAATGTACTGTCAACAAGAAGAAAGATTCATATGATGGTTTACAAGTTGATTGTTAAAAAATGGTAATGCTTGAGTTCATTCTGACAACACACGATTAATTTCAACAGAATCTACTGATTGCTACAGATTGAAAAATATTTTGGTTTCATAAATTGGCAAATGTGACATGTTGTAGGACAATAGAAATATCATACATACATACTGCATATGAAATAATTATGAAAATTAACAATATTAAATAAAGTAGGGTTATGTTACCTTGTGCACGGTGTAAGACATTTACCATGACATTCCTGGGATATCCAACCATCTCTTGGTCCATATCATCTACAGGTCTCCTTCCTAAAAACAAATTACATAATCTCAAACAAACAGATGAACACTAGGTGGTTTCAGGCTGGGGAGGGCAATAATTTGTGAATATAAGAAAAAACTTTGTGTCATTAGCATCTTTTATAACCTACTTAGCTGGACTATTTGTGGGGACCACCGGCACCACCCAGACTACGCTGCTGAACACCAACTAAAATAATCGCTATGATGGGCCAGAACAGCAATGTATAACCCAGCATAACCCACTTTACAGATAGAGAAAATGGAAATGAAAGGAGGAAGTAATAAGAAAATGAACATAAAACATGTTCATCGATGCAACCCCTGGGAGCATTCCCATCCTCCATTTAATTCTTAATGTGTAAAATTTTGGGAGACTCATGGTTGATCTTCCGTCAGTAAAATTATGGATAGAAGATGATTTGCTTGGAATTCAACATAGACAGGAAGGGATGGGTACAAATGTAATTTTTTACAGATAGGGTATTTACGCAAACTCAGTCGGAGCTGAGATAGGACATTTTTATGGCACTTGTAGATGGCCGGAAATGACACTGTTATACTCAAAATTTGAATGTAATATTCTGTTACCCCCATTTACTTTTAATTTTGTCACTTTAAGGCTCCCTCCTCATTTATTCAATATTCAGGTATACAAGAGAAAACATGGATACAAGATTTACATTACCTAAGGATTGCTCTCCTATACTAAACATATTTACATTGAGAATACATAAAAAACTAATTAAAAATATTATATCAGATCACCAATAAAATATTGGAATTAAAATATAACACCAATTAAAATAATTTACAATTATGCCTGTCAAAGGTATTTCATTATTGTCAAACATGATCACATTATTGTAAAACAAGAAAAAAATAATGGAATCATAAGAAAGTTTTTGTAATACTGAAATCTAGCAGACCCCCAAAATTGAAATAAGTAAGGCCTTCACAGAAACACTGTACAGTACTCTCTAATGACCATTACTACATGCATGACCATTTTTATAGTTTTAATACAACCACTTTCTTCTAATTTTAAATATTTTGCTTTGAATTTGTAATAATTCGTTATCACACATATACTTGTGTTAAATGCATGACAAATTTAGGATCAAGCATGTGTTTCTGCAAGATGCGTGTTTCATCCAAAATCACTTTGAAATGCGGGACGGTCCCGCACGATGCGAGGCAGTTGGTAACTATGCATTCTATAATAAATCTTACAAAGTATTTAAAAATCTTCAAAAATCAAAAGATGTTTTAATCAGACATAAAAATTGTTTATAATAGCTTACCATAATCATATGGATGAGTTGCTTCCGGCCAAGACTCTCTCTGAAAAAATATAGCTCAATAAGTAAATCTGAACTAAAATATATACTTTAATTAATGCAGCACCTTGGCTATAAGCCCACCTCGGGTGTAAGCCCACCCCACTACTTTGTGCCTAATATTACGTGAAGGCTTTTCCTTGGGCAAAACCCCAGGGATAATCTGAATGAGTAGCTTACCTGACTTTACAAAAAAATAAAATATTAGCTTTAATTTAGGCTGTTGCACTGCTGAAATTTTGGCTTTTGATTGAATAGAGGATTAAGCCCACCACCATAAAGCTACGTTCACACCAAGCCCGGATCCGGTCCGGAGCCCGGACAAAAAATCGTGAGTTGCTACTTTTTTGTATGCTGCGTTCACATCGCGCACGGAACACGGTTATTCAGTTTAAGTACGTATGCGTTTGATTGGTTCGAACCAACCAAGCTTGTTACTGATTGGTCCAAGGGGGAAAAACTTATGATTTCAGGATACAAATGACTCTCAGATCCATCGGTCCAGATCCGGAGTCCGGATTGAAAATCGTACGAATTTGATGTGAACGGTCCTATTCTTTACCACTGAACCCATTTTTCACCATTTTGTCTCCGGACTGGAATCCGGGCTTGATGTGAACGTAGCTTCAATCGGCCCAATTTTTTGGTGTTCAAAGGACAGTTGGCTCCTTATACCAGAGGAACTACAGTATAACAGAAACATATCAAAGACCAAACATGCAAAATTGTTAATAAAATTTATTTATAAAATACAAAAAAAAAATCCTTACAATTTTTTTGTCCCGGAAGGAAGTCTTTACCTTAGACATTACTGATCAATCTGTGGAGCAAAATTAAACACATAAATTTAGAGCTTGGTGTATGAGCAGTGTTCTTGAAACGGGTATGTTTCCAGTGTGCATACGAAAAAACCTTTATGCTCAGTTTTCACCAAACTAGGATTTTTCCGAACGCTCGACCATATATCATCCTCTACAGATTATGATTTTGTTAATTTCTCTATTAAATCAATATATTGCTGGTGAAAGAATGGTCGTACTTGTATTAATTTAATAGTGTAGTATAATACATATGTTTTACATAAGAAAATCACCGAATAAATTTCGTTTTAGCGTTCGTTTTATATTTATCTTTGGCATGGGAAATATCACTTTCGTAAAAGCTACGATCGTATCATCAGACTGCTTCAAAACTGCTCAGGCATGTCCATGCGCATGCCCAGATTGATCTATTAGGAATTATCCACACATGTACAGTACTTGTCAGTAGTGAAGTCATGATGTGATCATCATTGCATTTAAACGGATGGTAGAATTAGGCCTACAATATGTTGAATTTTGTTGTTTTTAGATAATAAACAAAATTTTAAATATGATAATAATACTGTAAAATGAAGACAAATAATAGATTTAGATAAGCATTACGATCTACGCGGCCAACATGGCTTCAATTGGGCGATGTTGTAGGCTTGGCTGGCTAGCGTCATTCCTACCTATGCCTAGCCTACGAAACGACTACTTGAGAAAGACAAGATGATTGTACACAAATCGTACGTACTGCATGCCTATTAGGAATAGTTATTGTACAAACAAAACTGTTTTATGAACCGCCAATTTCCTTGGTTTGATGACGTACATGAAATTTAGTGTCTGCTATAGCCTGTTTCAGTCAAAGTTTTTGACTTTCCAAGCAGTTTTTGAAGCAAAGAAATCTAGGCCTAGGTTGGCAAAAAATTGTTGTCCTGCAGCAATTCTGGCTTGGCAATATGGATGGCACTTGCCGATGTGAAATTCATGGGCTTGATACTGATGGCTTATGCCTACAACATTCTTAAAGCAATGTTGGCTTTTATTAGTCGCCATAATAAAATGAATGATTGAATAATAGATAAATATGCTCACTAAGCATATTTTAAAGTTCTTATTTGGATTAATATTACTTCTAAATGATCTATATTTAAGCATCTGTGAGGGCACGGAGGCCAAGGCTGCAAAATTGCAGGCAACTAGCGGCCATGTTTAATTTTCATAGGCACCAGTTTGTCTGTACTGTGTCAATTAGGCCAGAGGTTGTGGTGCCACCTATATCCAACAAACTTTACCCTAAAATTTACCAATATCTTGTTACTCCAAGGAAGGTGATTTACAATGTCACGTAAATACTGTTGTCTCAAGAGATTTTGTCTAAATTAGTAGTAAATTTCACCAGTAATTTAATTTTGCTAACGCAGCAAATTTGCAGCTGGCATGCTAGCAAACAAACAGCATTCCATACACACACAAAGCTACCCAACTTATGGTTGCCATTTGAAAAGGACACTTATATTCATTGACATTAATCATAGAAACCATAACCTTAATTCTAAATAAAATGTGTATTATACCTGTTTTATTTCTTTATAAGTTGACATATTAACTGTTTTCAAAGCCTTTTCCAACATCCATGTGTATGATCTTACGTAGTGTGGTTGACACTGAAACACAAACAAACAAACAGAATTTATTTTTCAATATACTTCCAGGTTATTCTCTTCTTGTGAATAATATTTTCAAACTGTAAAACCTCTTCGTATATCCACCTGGAGATGATAATAAAACCATGAATCAGGGTATGGGGCGTCGTTTGGGACATAGGTACACAAAGGCATTATGTTGTTAGAGAAATAATTAAGTACCTCAGAATTATTACTGTCAAGATATTTTGTGTACAGAATTAATTATTTGTTAATAAAAATAATTATGTACTACATAATTATATCTGTTTAACTATTACGTGCACAGAATAAATTCTATGTTTAACAGAAACAAATATGTACCACAGACTTATAACTGTCAAACTATTCTCTGTACAAAATTAATAATGTATTAACAAAAAATAATTATTACTGTTAAAATATCAGGGCTCGATTTAGTACTAGCCTGGCATACAATGTCTAGTCAAAACTGCTCCAGACTAGCCTATGTACCTCCTCATGTTGCCCAGTTGTCTAGTGAATAATTAGCAAGAAAAACATTTTCTTTAAAAAAAAGACTTTTGAGACAATCCCTACACAACAGGTAGGCTCAGGTAGTACTAGCTCTCCCATGCTATAAGAGTTGAACTACTAAGATGATCCCTAAGTTATTAATCCACAAACTAAAGCAGTAGGCTCTCACCGGAAGATTATTCTGTTCAATCTGGTAGGCTCAGGTAGAAAATTTATAGGCCTACAACCTTATATACAACATTCATGTTATTTTCTTACCATAATATTTTTTAAATGTTCGATTTTTTATTAAAAACTTGAGATCTTCAAGGCTAGAGGTCGGCTAGCTTAGGCCCTAGGTCTCATCAGCTAGGCTAGCCTAGCCAAGCTTGATTGGTTGAGTCATGAACCTGGTTGAGTGATGCCATTCAATAACTGCATTGGTTGGTCAAATTCAGGGCCCTCTAGTAAAATATTTTGTGGGCTAGTAAAATCTCTAGTAAAATAGCACACTGGGCTAGTTACCAACAAAATTTATGCCTTACTATTCTGTAGTACTTGACAGAATAAATTCTGTAGTAACATAATTTTTTTCTATCCACACAGATTTATTCACTCCCACGTTCCCACAGAATTATGTCCACAATAATATGCAAATAGCACAGCTGAAACAACATAATTCCTTTTTAAAGACATAAATAGCAATGTCCCAAACAGCACACACACCCTGTTTACCTGGTTTTTTTTCTATGCAAGTTAACAAATTCATGGTTTTTCAAGCCTTTTTCGAACTTCCGTTTCATAACAATGCATTCGTAGAGGGCGGCACCACATTAACAAATCCCTTCAACTGAAACACAAACAAACAGAATGTATTTTTTAATATACTTCCCTTGTAGTGAGAAATTTTTTTTTAAATGTCAAACCTTGATATCCACCTGGACATCCAATAGAATCAAAACATCTTAGAGACTAAGAATGTTCACTGGTTTTCTGCTGTGCCGTACTTGATTGACAGTAATTGTTAAGATGTAAAACAGTAAATTATTAGTTGCTTTCTTCCATGTGGAAACAAATACTGTATGATAACATTCATTTTGTTAGTAGATACCACACTGCTGCGCATACAATACTACGAACTAACCATTAAAATAATTAATAGGCCCTACTGCTAATAATTCAATGTTATCATTCAGAATGCATCATTATTTAAAGCCAGGCTCCAGAGGAAATTTTTCTAATTGATATTTTGTGAACTAATTTTTTTATTAGACACAAAAAGGATATTTGATAAATTAAACTTGGAAGCCATTGAGATACAGATTTTTAAATATTAAGAAACTGGGAGAAAAAGGGGCACAACCTTCTTGACCGGAATTGGGGGAGGGACATCTTGTAATTTTGTTTCTTGTAGCTCTTAATAAAAACTTCTATATTGTACTTTCATATTATTGTATCAATTAATATTCAGTGTCATCGTTTTAAAAGTGAAACCTGAATAAATGTTCAAAAGTTCTTTGTAGGACATTTATGATTTTATTGGATTGATGGAAAATCCACCTTCTTATTTGCATAGGCTTTACAGAATAAATTCTGAGGAGACAGAATTTATTCTGAGATGGTTAATGGAAGGTTCACTTCCAGTTCCTCCATTTCCAGTTCCTCCATTTCAACCGTTCCACTTTTGGTGGTATCACTGTGTCCCATCCATTTGTCTCGCTCATCACGTCAACAATCTGGTTTTAAAGAGCGAACACTTCCATCACAAAATAAAGACTGTGCATAAGGACCATACAGAAGACCAACAACCTAAATGTTTGAAATTCAATATAACATTATTCAATGATGGAATGATATGAATATGAAAATAACAATTGTTTCAGTAAAGAAACAGAAAATACACATTAATATTTGTTTTTTTTTTTCTTTTAAAAAGCAAATATTTTCATGAGATAAACAAACCTAGAATTAAATTTACTTGGCATTACTTATGTAAGTCTCTTTCCAATTGGGACTGGGGTTTTTTATGGTCTACAGCAGCCTTGGTCTTTTAATTAGAAAAAAATATTATGAAAGTACAGTAGTAAATTTGTGTGTTTTGTCTCTACTTTAATGTTTATCTAGACCATGTCTAGATTAACGTGGCTACAATTCTTTTTATAAATTATAAGAAATAACAGATAGACACTTATTTCGGGCTACAGAATATTGAATTTCAAACATAAAGTGGTCTTTAATTAGAAGTGGTTTTTAATTAGAGGGGTCTTTAATTACAAGACAGACCTGTATTATTAACAATAGAGAAGTTTTGTATACATTCTGTGTTTTTTCGCAATCACAGCGCATTTCAAGCATAGCCTAGGCCTGGGACCTAGCTTAGGCCTATTAGTACTATATTCTGTTCTCTTCTCTCATCATGCTTCTCAAAGTTTTATTAGAGTTTGTAATGTAAGGTTTTGGAAATTGAAAATTGTAACTGAAAAATACTTCCTTTGATGGTCAAAAGTGTTGGTTATTTTGTGATAAGCCCTATTGTTTATGACCCAAAAGTGCCTGGCTACAAGTAGGCCTAAGCCTACTCAAAATCCAAACACCACCAAGGTCAAAGCACTGAGCGACCCCAAAATGAGACCCATTCTATCTTAACTTGCTGTCTTCAAATGTCACAAAAATGGCATGTATGTATTCAAAGATACATTTATTTTCCTACTAGAAATCCAAAATTTACCTACGTGTTTTTCACTTGCGTGTAGTGAGCAAGATATGCGTGTCGTCCACACGTTTAGTGGACAGCAGCCGGAGTATGACCAAATGATGAAGTATTCGTCACACTAACCGTACGTGTTCGCATGCGAAACCTCCCTAATGGCTACAAACCGTTACGGATAGCTAAACGTATGCGTACACGTATTCGTTAGCGTGCGAAACCTCCCTAATATCATCACAACCACACCTACCAAAACTAAATCATACCTTCACGAGAGATGGTTAATGAGACAAATTCTGTACGAACCTACGAAAGGTTGATGGAGCATGTCGGTAATTTTTGTATTATATTTTACTTTCACCAGTCAGTTACAGAGTCAAGTGTAAAAAAAAAAAAATAAATCATACCTTCATGAGAGATGGTTAGAGGGAGGCTTAGTTCCAGGTCTACGAAAGCATTTCAACTGTCCCACTTACGGTGGTATCGCTGTGTGCTTTTGTCTTGCCCAACCCTAAATATGTCAGCAAAATAAAAACGGTGCAACTGTAATAACCTAAAATAGTGTTTGAAATTTAATATCACATTTATTCAATATGAATTTGCAATCATTTTTAGTAAAGAAACAGAAAACATGCATTCATTTGTATATGTTTTTTTTTTCTTTTAAAACAAATACTGTATTTTCATGAGGTAAACAAGAAACTAGCATTAAATTTACTTGGCATCACTGCGGGCCTCCCTACATATGTGTCTGGGATTTTTATGATCTATATCAGCATCAGTCTTTATTTAGGAAAAAATATTATGAAAATAGAATGCTTATTTCAGGATGCAAGAAATGTGGTCTTAATTTGGAGGTGAAAAGGGGAACCTGTATCGTTTTTATAATCACAGCAAACACTTACCATGAATAAATCTTACTTTGATGAGATGGTTAGTGGGAGGCTTGTTGAGAGTGAACACGACCATAGAACTGTAATAACCTAAATATGTTTGAAATTAAATATTACTTTTATTCAATAATGGAATAATAATATATCACAATAGTTTTTGGTAAAGAAACAGAAAATACACATGAACTTAAGAAACAAAACTTTAAAAAGAAGACCATTATTGAGTTCAAAACTAGAAAGTAGAAAAAGGCCTATAGAATATTAGATTCTAAAAATAGCATACAAGCACAATTTTGATATTATTTTATCTAAAAAACTGCAATACACATTAATATAGTAAATTAAGTTGAAAGCATACTATTATTACATCTATATTAATGATTTTACTGTACTTCAAAATTAGCATTATATCTGTAGTTATTTATCAAAGCAATTTTATAACTTCAAAAAATGTATTATTGTTTTACAAAATGATATGGCATTTTACAAACTTGTAAACTGGCTTTTGAAGTGAAATTAATTTTCATATTTAAATTATCTCTTTGTTGAGAGATTTTCATTAACATTTTTTCCATAGTTTAAACATGATATTTTCCTCCATGATTTAATGTGATCAAATTCTTGTATCCACAACTAGAAAACACAGTACCGTTGTCAAATACAAATGACAATGAGGGAGCCACAAACTAGGTTTATTACTTTTTGAGATAAGGGGAACAATATAATTAGATTTCTAAACTTGGTTGAGGTATCAAATACTGTTAGGTATATAACTCCTCCTCAAGTGGCACCACTAATGGTGGTGCCACTATTAAATGATGAGTTAGTGTAGTGACAGGAGCCTCTGTATTGACTGATACTAATAGTAGATTATGATTATTGGGGATGTTAATTGTGATTAACTTTATGAAAATCCCACCATGAATAAATTAAAAGAAATCTCTATTAACTACTATCAGAGCCCACTAGGACCACAAATTCTATGTTGACCCTTACTCACCATATCTTTGTATCTTGTCCAGAAAAAGTTAGTGATGCCAGAGTCTTATATAGTGGCCTTAGTGATCATGATGTTATCTATTCAGTTATGTAAAGAACAAAAGCAACCTTTAAACCACTGGATTAAAAATTGTACAAACTATAACAAACTTCATGAAATCCAATTCAAACTACAGTAGAACTGGTGAATGTAAATTGGTACGAAATCACAAACTATAGTAAACATTGATGATGCACTTCAGAATTTTGAGGATAAATTTCTTTATGTTGCTAACAAACATGCCCCTATAAAGAAAAAACAATTGAAAAATAAAAATAGTCCATGGTTGAGTGATAAATTGATTAAACTCATGAGGAAACGAGATGTATTAAAAAGGAAGGCAGCTAAAGAAAATTTTCCTCATCTTTGGAATGAGAATTGTGCTTTGAAAAATAAATGCAATGCCAAAAATAAGCTTGATTAATACAAGATATATAATTAAGATAAAGATTTTGTCTCTGAAAAAACATTCACCAATCAAGGTTATTTTTGTTTGTTATCCTCATTATTATTTTCTGTAATGAGTGTTATTTCCCACCCTTTTTTGCTTCTTGGTAACCCTTTGTTTAAATAGTGTTTTCATTTTGTTCTTTTAATTTTATATTTACCTTATTTGTTACTTTACATGGGTTGGCATAAAAAAAACCCTTGGGTGAATCAAGTGTAGATCTGTGTAAAAATAAGAGAGTATAAGCCATTGTGAGTTTGTAGAATTTATACTATTAATTTCCCATCTAAGAGCCACACATCTTGATAGCTATTCAGTGTTAATTTAAAGGAGATTCAAAGGAGTGCTTGAGAATGTATAGATTCCAAGTACAGAATTTCCTATCAAATGAGGTCAGGGATGTAGTTATGGTGGGCGGGGCCACCCAGCCTTAAAGTTTTAAACCCAGTTTAAAACTAATTTTCATGGCCTTCAACCGACCCTTAACCAACATTTCCATCCTTAAAATCCACTCTTATTATTTTAAGGTTATCAATGCTATCACACACCAACTATTAAAATGTTTATCACCCACCCTTAGTTTTTTACAGCTACAACCCTGTGGTCTAATGAATGATTTGTATAATGTTAGAAACATTTTTGATTTCACGCAACAAAATAAAAGAATTGCTGCAATTACTGAAATGAATCACGTTAGTTTGCGATACAATTTTCATAAATTTAATAACAAAAAACAATGCAAAATTGACTGGAAATATATTTTCTTTAAAAAAAATGTAACCTATGAGTTGATCCCTAGACAACTTGCAATCCAGCTCTGTATGCTGCAGAGGTTATTTCAGCACCCGAATTATGTGCTAACATTTCATTACTTGTAACACGTCACGGGGTGGAGCAAAGAGGTGTTGTTGGGCGTCGCTCAAAATATATCTAAATTGGTCCAGATGGTAAAGCTCCAAAAAATTTTGACAATTAAGGCTTATTTAATGGATTTTAGAATCTACTACAGTAGGCAGGGCTCGATTTAGTACTAGCCCGGCGTACAATGTCTAGTAAAAACCGCTCCGGGCTAGCCTATTTACTCCTCATGTTGCCCGGTTGTCTAGTGGAGAATAAGCAAGAAAAACACATTCTTAAAAAAAAAAAAGCGGAACTTTCGAGACAATCCCTGCACAGTAGGTACTGCAGCCCAGAGAGTACATTCTAGCTAGCTTTCAGCTCTCCACATGCGTGATTGTTTAATTATTAAGATGATCCCCAAGTCATTCACCAACCACTACAG